AGAGAGAGAGAGAGAGAGAGAGAGAAAGAGAGAGAGAGACAGAAACAGAGACAGAGACAGAGAGAGAGAGAGAGAGAGAGAGGTGAATGAAGGGTAGAGTACTCACATGTCCATTGAGCATGCGTACAAAGTTGGTTCCTTTATCTCTGAGCTTCATCTCCAGGTCCAAAAAGGTAAGCTTGTTGGTGGACACCTGGAAACTGTCATTGGTCCACAGCACTCCAGAGATCCTGGTGGTGGAGAAGAGATTGGGGGGTGGGGGGGGGGATGAATTAGGAAGATCAAGGGCGGGTGGTCACTTATGGTTGGTTGGTGCTACAGGGCGTATTACACATTCAGTTAAAACTGACAATTGTTCATCCTCTTAACTCTTCAAACCCTGAGTTTTTTCTACAGTCACCCTAAACCCCGGGCACTATATCTCATTATAACGCTAAAAGCTTGCCTCCAACTTCTAAACAGCGGAACAAAGGCTTAGCCATTACTTTTAAAAAACTTGGCTCGGGTACAGTTCCAGAAAACAAGCAAAAACTAGCACTAAATTAAACGAAAAAGTTGTTACTGGTATCGGACACTCCCAGCAATCTTGGAAACATTTCTTTTTGTGCGATCTTCAATATTCAGCAAGAAAAAAAACAAATCACTCGTCGATCATTTTGTTAAATTTGGTACGCCGATACCGAATTTGGTATTATTTCACAATTATACTTTCCAATAAATTTATGAACGAAATTTTTAGCATTGGCAGGCCACAGGCTTCTACTTAGCAAGACAGCCAGCCAGTCAGACACATCTAATATTTGGCACCTACACAACCTAATCATATGTTGCAAGTGCCATAAAACTCTTACTTAAACTAAAGGTAGACAAAACAGAAGAGATATATGATATTACACAAGTTGCTCATTTATGCCCAGCTGAGCTGTAGGAAGGCAAAAAAAACCCCACAAAGTAGGAAACGTTGCAATTGAAAAATTCAGATTGGGAGCCTGAAAGAACAGGCTAGAGAGCTATCATTCACTCTCAGTGTTAGTACAAGTTTTATGGTACTTGCAACACAAACAGGTCAATGAAATGCTGAATATTAGAGGTGTTACTGAAGATTAAAAATACAAAGACAAGAAGAGGAGAAAAGGATGATAGCTGTTTGAGGGGAAAGAAGGAGCAAACCACAACAGAGCACAACCAACCATCCACATTGTTTAATCCCGTGAAGTTTTCAACTAGACAAAATCACCAGTTTAAATTTTACCTGTTGTAGCATTCAGCTGGAATGTTCTTCTGTTTTTTGGGCAGGGAGCACCAGTCAAATCTGGGAAAACACAACAGCATAATTAGAATCATCAAATATGAGGTATCAGAGAAAAGTTGGTTGAGGGGGGTTTTTTCTCCTTTTTTTTCTCCCTTGCCACTTTCCATAAATCGACATCGGTGCTTTTTTTTTTCTTTATAAGTTTAATAAGTGCAGTTTAGCATATATTTTCTGAATAGTTTCAACATGTTTTAAAGTTTAATAATTTATAACAATTTAGAGACATACAAATTTCACCACCCCCCCCATCCCCTCCATTTCCGCACAAACGCACGCAATTGTCAATTGTGCACACAAAAACACACACACACACACATTAACCCACAAACACATACACAGACACAAATACACAGACTCACTCCTCTATGAGCGTGTAAGGTATCAGTCGACCGTTCCAAAAGGCCTCAAAGATGGGCCTCCTCCCCCGCGCCGGGCGATCGTTGATGGCATAGCCGTGGTCATCCTCGGGCACTGGGTCCACTGGAAGGGAAATGATTAGAGCAGAGAGAGGCGTCAGGAAGACACAAACATCCTGACAACATTTACACTTATTACACATATCGGGGTGGGGGGTAGAATGAGCCATTGCAAATTCTTCACACGTCTAGACAAATGTGTAACAACGCTGTGGAATCAGGCGCTCGTCAATTTGGGAGCATATGGAGTTATTGGTATCATCTAACAACATGTTCATCTTTCTTGCTTTCAATGAAAAAATTACCCTTCTATCTTTAATAGAAGTCGAGATATTTTGGATTGAAATAAGTGGGGTCACCTGATTTCAGAGGTAAAATAACAGAGAAAAAGGCCGCCAGTTTGCTGACTCTCAAAGCTAGAGAGTCCTTTGAAACTGTAAATTTACAGTTTTTGTGTCTTTAATCAAAGCTTTTCAGTAAAATCCATACAGAAATGTTTTTTAAAATGAACATAAAAGATATTAAACCAAGAAACAAAAATTCGATAAAAATTACCAAACTAGCAGAGAAAAGCCAGTTTCTTCAATTTCATTATTTTGACGAGCACCTGATTTCACCTCGCTGCCTCACATATTGACTGCTCTGTGTAATACAGTAATACTCCCATCACGCATAATTTTTCAAAATGATCTACAGTAGAGTTTTGCACTATGCAAAAATTGATACGAACAGCTCAGAACATGAAAACAAATATTTTACAGGCAGGTAAAGAGCGCCGGACAGAGTCTGAAACAAAGACAGTTATCCTCCGTCATTTTTCAAATAGTGACCATGATGAGATTAAACATACAAATCCGTTGAATAAACATCAAAAGTTTCTATATTCTGTTACGTAAAAAATGTTTGGAAGAAATGACTGCACAGAAGAAGCACTTCCATGCAATGAATGCATAAGATATTTTTTACACAGAGTTGTAGTAGTGTTGACTCACATCTAGGAGCGTAGGCATCCACCGGATAGGTCTCTTTGTCATAGCGGAACGGATGATATCGGACGATCCCCTCCACAGCCGTAGAGCCATCCACGTAGGCTTTGAACTCAAACCTGCTGGCGGCCGTCCGAACATATTGCGTCTCAATGTCATCTTCAATCTTGCGTAGGTCAATCGACTTGGGGTTCGGGTTTCCCCTCAGTTGCATGGTCACCTTGACAGAGACAAACACAGAGTCGGATAACAGGGCTGGGCAAACAGATAAACATCCTACTTTCCGCGAGCTGACCAAGAACAAGATAACACACCACAAGACGGCTCAATCTATAACAAAAGCAACGTCAACCCCCTCAATCCTCAGCTCACAAGACATAAATCTTATCCCTCTCAAATCATCAGCTAACAAGCCATAAGTCAAAGTCCTCCCAGATCATCAGCTCACACATTATAAGTCATCTCCCTCCCAAATCATCAGCTCAAACTTTATAAATCATACCCCTTTGAAATCCTCAGCTATCAAGATATAAGTCTCGTCATGCCCCTCCCAAATCATCTGCTCACACATAAGTCGTACCCCTTTGAAATTCTCAGCTAACAAGACATAAGTCTTGTCATACCCCTCCGAAATCTTCAGTTCACAAGTCATATCCCTCCCAAGTCCCAAGCTCACAAGCCATAAATCATATTCTTCCCAGATCCTTGTCCTCCCTCACCTGTATATTGATGTTGTTGAAGGGGTTGCTCTCCACCTTCTGCTCACCCTCCTCTTTCAGCTCGTGGCCCTCTGGACCGTGAAGGTAGAAGTGGTAGATGTGCCTAAGAGAAAGATAGAGAGAAAAAAACCATTATTACATTGTCCAAATTTAACGTTTATCTCTGACGGAGGCAAAGCCACTATGCCGGGGCCCTCTTTTGGTACTAAATCAAAACAAAAAAAGTCAAAAACGTCACTAAATTGGTCATTAAATCAAAACAAGTGAACCTATTTTGACGGTTCTTCATCTAATGAATGAAATCAAGATAAAAGAGACCTGGCTTCAGTAATTATCAAAAAGAAAAGAACGAGGAAGGATAAAGATGACAGACATTTAATACAAAGAAGGAGGACACCACACCAGAGCATCCACCAACCACCCAGCAAAAATAAAACTCACGCCAGCTGTCTGGTCCACATGTTGAAGTTGTGCTTCAGGTAGGACACATGCTGAGGGCTGATGCCCTGGATGACCACTGCTGTGAAGCTCTCGCGGTTCGGTTCCTCCGAGATGAGCTTGGCCAGAAGTTCGTCCTCCCCACTCAGGTGGGAGCTGTCTCCGGGCTGGTGAACACACACACACAGTTCACACAAATTAATAAATAGGCCCTAGCTCTTTCAACACTTACAATAATAATAACAATATTAATAATAGTAATAACAATAATACAGTCGAACCTGCCTTAACGGAAACCTGTGTAAAACGGAAACCTGTCTTAACGGAATCTCCCCCCTCCCCCCTTGATATATCTCTCTTTAATTACCTGTATAGAACGGAAACCTGTCCAACGCGGAAACGGAAAGAAAAATCCGCTCCCTTCCGAGGGTTTCACCTGTCTAAGACGGAAAATGCTTTGCCCGCTCAGCCCTGATTTGAAACGAAACTCGTAAGTTTGGTTCCGCTGGCTCTGAACTTAACACCATGGCCATGCCACTGGGCGAGGAAGGGGAGTAGGGGTGCAATAAGGGGGTAGATGTTACCCCATCATGTGAGCCCTGAGCGATGCAGATGGTCAGTAACTGTGGGTGTGAAATCTCACGACTGCCCGTGAGAATGCTCGGGTAGCGAACCACTAAGAAAACCTTCCTGGGTAGCCAGAAGCCAGAGGTGTGAAATTAGATTGTCCAATGCCTGCCGCCCTGATCGTACTGCCAGGCGAGAAAAGAGTTCCTCGAATCGTTGTTACAACGATGGCAGTGAGGGGGGCTAAGGGTGGAAGCAAAGGAAATGTTGAAACCTTTCTGTTTTTAATAGGTCAAACCGTGGTCCTATGAAAGGCAAGCACTGGTGGTAATTAGATATGTAAGACTGACGCATGTCATTATACAGACAGGACAGCAGCTGAGAGGTGTGAAGTTTTGATCACTGCTTGCCGATCGGACAAGCGATCCTTGATCCCACCGGCTGGGCCTTTGTACCCCCCCCCCCCCCCACACTAAATTCCCCTGTCTAAGACGGAATTGTTTTCCCACTCCCTTGCGATAATAATAATAGTAATAACAATAATAATAATAATAATAACAATAACAATAGATGGTGTGTACTGTATATGAGTATAATATCTTTTCACAAACAGGAAATTTTGGCGCTCTTCGTAGCAGGGTACAGCATCCATCCCAACAAATAGTCAGAGACACTCGGCAAAACTTTCCCACTGTAACTCAATCATCAGGCAAAACTCACCCTAATGCATCATCTCTTTCTAATGTAGAACAACATAACCCATTTATCTGCTCCTGATAAACCCACTGTCTATTCCTGAAGTAGCCCACTATAAGCCACCAGTCTATTCCTGATGTTGCCTACCAAAACCCACCTGTCTATTCCGGATGTAGCCTGTGTAGATAGACTGGTTGCTTTTCTCCCTCCTCTCAAACTCATCCTTCGAGATGGAGAGTTCATGAACATCCTTGGAACCTCTTGGCTTGCTGATCATCTGGAAGGGGGAAGGATGTGGGGAGAGCAAAGGTGGGGGGGGGGGGGGGGAGGAAGAAGGGAAGAGGATGAGAAAGGAGTGGGGAGCATGGGGCGGGGAGGGGAGGGGGAAAAGGAAGAGAGAGGAGGGGGGGAGGAGAGAAAGGAGAGGAAACAGAGAAGGGAAGGAATGAAAATATTTTTTTTTTACTTTACATTTTACTATAGGTGCGTTTACACCCCAGTCAATACAATCTAAATCATTTACAAAGCGGGCTTTGACCCATCCTAGGCTGACAGGGATACAACATCCCAGCAGAAAGACTGAGATCCTCAATGAAAATTCTCCCCAATATACTTTGATTTCCCAGACTGAAACCGAATGAAAATCTTTTGCATATTCTGTAAACAGATTGCTTATTACAGCCCAGATGAAACTAAATGGAAATCAGTAGGCTACTAAATGCACGTAATAAGTGGATGAAAACACTGGGAGCCTATCATACAGCTAAGACATATAATATCCTTCAGGGAACTGACATGTTTTGCCTAAGCAAAGACAAGCACATTGACACATCAGTCCTTTAGTGTAGAGAAAAAGTAAGACAAATAGACAAAACAGCAGAGGGAGAAAAAAAAAGTAGAGTTTTACTGCACTTACAACACAATAAGGTAATGTAAGTTCCAAAGATTAGGGGTGTTACAAGAGAGTAACAAACACAAAATAGAAGGAAAGGAGATAAAGACGATATATGTGTGATAGGAAAGAAGGAGCAAACCACACCAGAGCATCCACCAACCACCCACGTGATGTCCTCTAACTACCCATGGATTGAGATGGAAAACTGAAATGACAATGAGCAGTTTGTTCATCAGTGAGGTCATTGTGAAATAGTGCGAGTCTCCTGCTGGAAGATATTAAATATATGCATCCAGGATTGATCTCTTTCACTTTAAATTTTAAATCAATCCAGATCTTAGGCTGATCAGCATTTTTTTTTAAAAGAAAAGATGCCACAGAATGACCAACCCTTGTGGCATTGCCAATAAAGAAGACAGCCTGCTTGCCCCCGACACCAAAGTAGGAGATGTCACTGTTCATGAAGCGAGGCGCCCACGTCGAGGCCAGGTTGATAGAGTCGTTAGCCCCTGAAGGCTCCAAGTCTTGTCTGCAGAGGAAAAACGCAATGTTGAAAAAAACAAAATAAAACAAACCAAAAAAACAAATGACAAAATAACATATTTTTCCTAGATCAAGAATTTTTTTAAATATATTTTTGATTGGCTGCTGGTCTGCAGAAGTGCCATGCAACGTTTCGTGGGCATAGGTAAATTAATAAAAGAACTAGAATTTTTTTAACACAGTCAGACGAAAGTGAACAAGCTATAATAAGGGTTTTTTTAAAGCTGTTTTCATGCTTTGTTGTTTGTGCACTCACGACATAAAAGAGCAAATTTTGTAATCGAGCTTAGCTTTATCTGGTAACCAATGTAACTTTATCAATGTAAGTGTGATGATAGGGACTGTAGGTAATTAATTAATTGACAAGCACACATAGCCCACTTTCTAGGGCAAAGAAATGTGCTGTGTAAATGCAATCATTTTAGTACTATCATTATTACTACAGAGTGCAAACTCATTTTGCTGCCACATGTCATAACAATTTACCAACTCACCCCCTGCTACGTTTATCCCTCCGAGTGAACTTCGACAGTCTATAAATAGCCCAATTGTTCAGCTGGCGCGGGGTCATTCCTTTCCCATTGTCGATGACAACAATACAGTTCTTGCTCACGGCTATGTCATCCAAAAACTGAGGAAGAAAGATGATGATCCAAAAATAATTATTGACAAAAATGACAAACATGATCAACGCATTAGTAGTTTTTACAAAAAAAAAGGATGTCCCACAGTAAAACTAACCTGTCAGATCATTTTAATTTTACACCATGATAAACGAAAGTTATATTGACAAAATGAATGTTTGTTTAGTTTTTGTAGAGGTTCGCCACTGCATAAGGTCATATGAGCGCCAGAAGATTAGAGATGTTAAAAGAGAGTAACAAACATAAAAAAGAAGAAGGGGAGAAAAGGATGACAGATAGATGTTTCATAGGAAAGAAGAAGCAAACCACACCAGAGCACCCGCCATCCACCCACTCGAATGAATGTGTGATGAACGTGTCAAAAATGGTTGACTATCGGAACCTTGTAGTGCACACTTCACAAAACAGATCAGGTTTCATTGACACAAAGTAAATTGTGATCAGCCGCATTATACACAGTTCACACTTACCATTGTAATGATTAAAAGGATGGAAATATGAATACATCGAGACAAAAGGCAGGAAGGACGTTTATAGTTCCTATGCACCAATCACCCACTTAGGGACCTAGACCATCTCAAAACATATCATCAGGAAACACAAATACTTCAAGAGCATACCTGCCAACATTGCCTGGGCCAAAATCTGTAGTTGGACGCAAATTTTTGTCCAAAAATCTGTAGTTGACCTAAAAAATCTGTAGTAGGCTACATTGCCTCTTGTCGCATACTTAATTTGGGACCCTTATCAATATTTTATTTTGACCCACATCAAATATGCATAATTGTGTTTGCGACTACAAACAAATGTAGAAAATGACAAAAAGAACCCAAAAAAAAGACAAATATGAAAACTACCAGAGGCATTTACCCTATTAGTAGTTGGTGCAGTTCCTGTCCTATTCATACCTGCACGCACACACACAAATGAAACCAACAACCCCCCCCCCCCCCTAAAAAAAATGTTTTTTTAAAAACAGAAGCAAAGAAGAAAAGATGAAGAAAAGGTGGGCCTTGGATGACTTAGGCCTAGCCTTGGCCTTTTGTCTTTGCAGAGTTTACAAGGAAAGAGTATGACGGATCCTGAGTACACACAAGGCCTGCACCAACACGCGTTTTGCTGAGAGTTTTCTAGATCTAGATCTAGTGGTAATCAAAAATTTAGAATACTAAAATTTGCTTCCAAGTTCAGTTTTTGTCCTCTGGTGTTGCCTTCAAACCCCCCCCCCCCCCCTCCCCCGAGTGTATCTTTAAAAAAAATAATCCTCCCCCCGTTCCGGAGTCCTATACTAGGCAGCGCTCAGACTTTGAATGAACTTTGGTGACCCCTACAAGTGCCAGTGCTCACAATGTGATGGAACGCGCAAGTTCATTGACCGGTCACAATGGCGAGCCCGACAAGACGCTTGTATAACTATAACTTTCTTTTCTTTTCTTTTTTTTTTTCACAAGTGACGGCACAGGACAAATATTGATTTATTTTCAAGGCGACACAGCGTTTGCCATGCACAGCCTGCATGTTGTTACAATTAATGTTGCGTTATCAAACTACTACTAGCAGATTTCTGGGCGGTAACGAAAATGAAAGTATATCTTGATTATCCCGATCAAATGTCGGTATCACACCCGCTTGCCACCATAGCCGCCTGTCTGCGTGAAGAAACATACTCTCGAGGGAGCCGAATGAATCACAATCGCGACCGGCAAAAATGAACTTACGGGCGTTATCGGATTTGGTTTTCAAATATTCGATAACTTTCTCAAATTCCCGGGTAATTCCCGGGGCCTGGCAGTCACCCTGCTGAATCCCGAAGTCAGTGGCTTCATCTCAAAATCGGTGGATCGGTAGTTTGACCCAAAAGTCGGTGATCTACCGATTTTTTCTGTAGGGTTGGCAGGTATGCAAGAGTCATCATGCCAGGTTACTGTGTCAATGTCCCTACTTCACATCTTCAACATGCCATTTTTAAACAAGTTAATCGGAGAGTTCTCAAGGTCCTTGTCTCACTTAGCTCAGTCCTTTCGAAAAAGGTCATCATTATTTGAAGGTCCTGCCTCTCAAATAACACGATACCAAATGGGAGTTAAAATAACATAACACCATAGAACATGTAAACCTTTAACTGGTTTCAGTGTATGTCGATGACCCTTTGTCTTAGAGCCTGCAACTTCTTAACATCATAATTAGACAGAGCCAAGTTACTCTCATAACTTTTACTCAATGTCACTATCTCTTTTTACTTTTATCAATACTTTTCCTTCACTCCCGTTATTTCTCCTTTGAGATTACTCGCATTACCTAGATTCAGTTATTCCTTTGAGTACTGGTGGGACACGAAAAAAATTCTCTCAGTCACTCACCAGCCTCAGTTCAATTTGCCGGGATCCATCGTTGAGAGCTGTAGCCGCCAGGGAGTTGTCGATGAGCTCTGCAAAGGCATACGCTGGGGACAGAAAAGTCATACACATCATAATCATCCTCACACATTCCAACGTACAGACAAGCATTATAAACAAAAACATACACAGATAAACAAGAACATGATACAATAGCAGAACAGGAAAAAAACAACAGGAAAATACATTCCTACTTTTTTTATTTTTAATACACAGGAAATAAACCATGACTTGAAATTATCCGCCACCTAAACGTTTTTGCATCTCTGTTACGACAATCACAAAGAAGAAAATTCCTCAAGTTTCTTTAAAATCATATGCAAATAAAAATTATGCACATGATAAAATAAAAGTGACAGACCACAATTCTCTATACAGTTAGTCTGTCATGACAAATGTCTTTGGCCACAGAGAGAGAGGTCTTTCACAAAACAATACATTTATCATTATCAGTTTTTTTGTTTTTAATTAAAATGACTCTTTACAACAAGTCCTAAAGGAGTAGCCAATCTCCCGTCGGATGAATTAGAAATACCTTACGTGAAATTTTTTGTAATGGTTCTGTACACATAAAGAAGAGATTTTCAACAGCAACTCCAGTCAAAGAGCAGTTACTTACGCAAAGGATTTTGTCCCTCTGAAGCATAGTACTCGTACATTCCACCCTTGACGATGGTGTCATAATGCGGTAGGTAGTCCACCCGCTCCTGGGCAGGGGCACACAACTCTTGCTTCACATCCTTCAGGATATACAAAGTCTCTCCATTCTCCACATAGTCTGGAATGACAGAAAAAACCCCGCAAATGCTGAAATCAAGATTAATGAAAGGAAAAGACTCTTTTTCAAAAAGTCTGAATAGCCAGGAATGTGAATGAAAATAGTTGAATCAAAAAACAGGAAAGAGCACTCCAATATTCCATTATCCTTACTACATGACATTTTGAGCAGCTCTCTCAGAACAAAATATTTAAGCATTTTTATCACATTTTACACTGTTCAACCACTTGTGTGCAGTGTCCCCCACTTGTGCACCTCTGCATTCCCGCTTTCGGCAGTCAACTGAGCAGCAACTACACTACAGAGAACAACGACTAACCAAACATACAAAAACCTTGCACTCAAGAACTATACTGATATACACAAGAGGGTGCCCAAGATAGAATTATGATTTTTTTAAATATATCATGCGTGCAAAATTGGACTGTTGCATCAAGAGCCACCCTGACTACACACAGAAAACCATCGCCCTCTATGATGAGTCTCCTCGAGGAAAGTTCTAGTGCTTCAACTCGTCAAGTCAGAAACAGATGACGACTACCAAAGTAATACACACAAGAAGTAAATGGTTACTCACCCCAGGTCTTGTCATCTTTAATTTCATCCCTGTTGGTAGTAGCAATGACAAAGTCTTCTCCATCTTCAACACCTAAAAGCTGCAGAACGAGAGAAAAGAAATTGAAAATAATAAAACAACACTGCACACAACAAGGACATACTATGACTTCAGAACTCAGCTTCATAACCTGCAGACCCATGTTCACTACTACTACTTGTTGTGAATGTGGGTGTGCAATAGACTGTGTGTCACGACGTGCTGGAATCAGGCGTTGGTCAAAATTTGGACATGATGTGGAGTTATTGGTATCACCTTATAGCGTGTACTCATTTTTTATTTGTCTTGCTTTTAGTGGAAAAAATACCCATCTGTCTTGAATAGAAGCCTATGAATGAGGTGGAGGTCACCTAATGTCAAAGGCAAAGGTAAAATTAGCGAGAAAATGGTCATCAAAGTTAGGTAAAATTCCAAAGCTTGAGAGTTTTAGGAAGCTGCAAATTTACTTTTTTGTGACCTTTTGTTAGCATTTTTCAGAAAAATCAACATGGAAATGTGTATTTAAATGGCCACAAAAGGTGTTGAGGCAAAAAAAGAAGATTTGACAAAAATTGCCCAATGGTCAGTAAAAATGAAAAAATGCCCGTTTCCTTGCTTTCTTTATTTTGAAGGGCGCATGATTTCACCACAAAAGGCTTCACATAGGCTCTAACTAATAAGTAGGCCAAACCATAAGTGTATCAATGTGCATGAGTGCATCTCTTTGTTGTGACAATCTGTAAGAAAATTCAAACAAGAGACTGAAGTTTTAAAAAAATAAACATGATAGAATCAAGAATCTGATGTGAAAAGAAAAGGTATTAAAAACCAAAAGACAAAAAAAGTCAACAATCTTTACGTAAACTGAAGATTTTTATTCAGTGCAAGAAGCAACAGAAAGCCAAAAAAAAATTACTTTCAGTAAAAAAAAGTGTCTTCGACAATCATAAAGTCCAAGCTTTCATAAAAATTTTTAAATAAACAGCAGTGGCAAATCTTCGCTCATCCTGACATCACACCGAAAGAACTCGGCCCGATCGGGAATTCCCAATTGAATTTACAACCAACAAGAATTTATTTCTCTCTAAAAAGAGCATCGCATAAACAGTTAACTAAAGTCTCAGCAATTTGCAAATAAAAGTACCTGTTTTACGGCATCCTTAAATTTTGCAAAGCAGTCGATCGCTGTCGTAGATAATTTCACTTCAGGAGCGGCTGAATTCCGTCGATCATAAATAAAAACAACAGAGTCGCCATCCTGCGAATCGGAGGCCGCCATCTTGACTCTCTTGTATTACCAGGAATTTTAAGTGCATTCGAAAGCTCAAAAGATCAAAGAGGGGATTTTATTTTGACAATCTCTATTCTTTTAAACAAAATTGTTATCAAAATAGAATTCAATTTTTTTAAATCAAAATTACACAGACTGTCAGTTTATTGGACTTTGAGGGGCTAGATTTTTAAATCACACAATGCGAGACCATATTTTTTTCCAACCTGGCATTTCACGTCCTAACGCGTCTCTGTGGCAAAAAATGTAGAGGCCAGAGGCTAGCCAAGGCCAAGGCAAAAGGAGCACTTTGTGACTGAATATGGCGACTGCCCGTTGCCGATCAATTAATAATTATTAGTGTCCGTCCCAATAAAGTCTGGCCATTTTTTCAGTACTTTTTTTCTGTAACCACATTTTTCTTTTAAATTGACTTCTACTAACCTTACCCCGTCTTGTTTGTGTTTAGTGCTGTTGAAATATAACGTTGCGTGTTAGGAAGGGTTTTTATCAGACCAATCTGGGACTTGTAACAACACGACGGCAGCACTTTCTATAATCTGTGACATTATGCCTATTTTCATATACATATAGATCTAATTTTAGTCATGTAATTCTGTTAAAGGCCTTAGTTGAATACGCCGTCAAATATGCCATGGTCCGAACATAGAGAGAGAGAAAGACTACCATGTGGCGACTACCCTCAAACCAATATACTGTTGAGCTGTTTTGTTGTTATGTGTAGGCCTAGTAAGACACTCTTGAGTTCATGAGTAACAGTTCAGTGAAAGGGTCCAAGCTGTTCGGATGAATGTATGAAATATTTGTCTCGTCCTGCTACAACTTACATGTACTTGTATATAATACGTCTCGTCCTGCTACAATTTACATGTAGATGTACATAATATGTCTCGTCCTGCTACATTGGTGACCCTGACGTGATCTAAGGTAACCTTGTCTAGATCTAGATCTAGAGATCTTGATTTAATTTAACATAACCTAGAATCTAGTAACGGCGATCCGTTTGACACTCCTACGTTCTGGACCTCCTGTCCTTCCGCGAGGTTCGCACAAACAGAGGTCCAATTTGCTTTGCGTGTGATCACAACTGACGAGACAAAATACTACTACGTCGTAGCGGCGCTTGGTGCAGCTACAGCAGCAAGATCCCTATCCTTAATCTCCTCACCTCCTTCAACTTCAAGTCAAAAATGCGACACACTCAAGTCGTTCCTTTTAAGTTATAGAGGTCTATAGTTTATCAGAGGAAGAAAAAGCAGCAGACTTATTGAGAGTAAAAGCGATAACAGGCCCTCTGAGATGATGGAACAAATTTTAGCTTTTTTGGGAGAACACAAACCGTGTTTTCATTTTCGCCATATTTTTAACAGCTGCTGCCAGAACCTATTAGAGCTCCTTTGGCGAACTCCCACCACAGAACAGATTACCGCCCATTGAAGAAAGAAGCGGATAACCTGTAGCCTACAACTCCCTTTAGCCATTAATTTGAAAGTCTAACAGCGATACGACCTTCTGATTCTGTTTCAGACCTGCCTGAAGCTGATGCTATTTGCTGGTTCCATCGAAAATTTGGATCTAACGCAAGACGTTGTGCAGAAACACTTTAAGAATTTCCAACACAAAAAGCATAATGGAAACGGGAGAGTGAGCCAGCATTAGAAGTAGAAGATCCGACTGTTGGTCCGCAATGTTGCTCAACAACAACTGTTACGACACTGACGACAGATTCTAAAGTAACTCAGCTGTTCGTCACGGACATTAAGTCCAAAAAACCTTTCTTGATAGACGCTGGTGCCAAAGTCTCTGTGACACCAGCGTCATGGGCTGAAAGAATGTCAGGCGCAACGAGTCCACCCTTGCAAGCAGCCAATGGAACAACCATAGCGACCAATGGATCCAAAGTTAATCCTCTTCATTTCGGTGACCGTGTGTTTAAAGCACGTTTGATATCAACCAATGTTAAGCGACCCTTACTGGGGGCTGATTTCCTCCGGCAGCACAGTTTATTGGTTGATGTTCGAGGACACCGTCTAATTAGAAACCTTCTCGCATATATCTTGATCGGTCAGTTCCATTTCAGCTGGCCCAGATCTGGCCCTCATAGAACCAACAAGCACTAGATTCCGCAAGATTCTCAACGAGTATCCCGAACTCTTAAAGCCTACTTTTTCCACAGCAGATGTCACGCATGGTGTGCAACACTTTATTCCCACCAAAGATCGACCTGTTTCTGCTCGTGGTCGTCGCCTGGCACCAGACAAACAAAGAAGGAGTCCATTGAGATGGAGAAAAAAGACATAATACGGAAATCAAACAGCCCCTTTGCATCGCCTCAGTATGTTGTGCCTAAAAACGACCATGTGGAGATTACCGCAAGTGAAACGATGTTACAGTCCCAGATCGTTACCCCATACCCCTTCTTCCTCGTTCTCGTTGACAGCAGCTAGAAAGTCAGTCCGATGTCGCACACAAACTGTGCAGTTCGCTTCAACTCTGAGAGACTGCCATAGAGTTTTCTCTCAAGGAGAGCCACATTCTGCCATGTCTGTGTACGAAGGGTGGCGTAGCGCGGGCAGTGCTGAAGGATATGGTTGGCATCCTCTTGGTCGTGTCCACATTCACAGATGGCTGGCTCTCCCATTCTTAATTTGGTGTGCATATTATGGTGCTTGAGTCTGTTGTGGCCACAAGGGAGTCTAAAGATTGTGACCTGGTCTGCTCTATTTAGTATGTAGTAGGGGCCATGTCTGTTGCGTTTAGGGTGGGACCTTTTCCATCTGTTTCTTAAAGCAAATTTTATTAGTGTTTTTGACTCGATCCATGCCATCTTCAATCTGGGTCATTTTGGCTCCTTCTTTGGCTAAGTCGTCTGCTTTTTCATTTCCATGAATGCCACAGTGACCTGGTATCCACTGCAGAGTAGTGTTGGGTTGGGAGTTTAGATCACATATGAGGGAAAGGAGTTGTCTTACTTGAGCTGTTTGTGGCTTTTGGAGAGCTTGTAGGACAGATTTGGCATCTGTGAGGATGACGGTGTTGGCTTTAGATTTTTGGGGATTCAAGAGAATGGTGGCTGCTGTTTCGAGTACTGACGTTTCTCCCCATACCCCATAATTATTCAGGACTTTTCTGCTCGTTTAACTGGTGGGACCATTTTCTCTTAAATTGATCTTGATGTAAACAATTAGGAAGGAAAAAATAGCAATCATGCAGTTTCTGAGAAACTTGAATAACAAAATAATAATAATAATATAAACAAAATGGCCTTGAACATCTAACTCTTATGAGGGCTTAGGCTACCAGTAAAATAATTTTGGAAGGCAAACGAGGCAGGAGTAGATTCAGTAGCCTAAGCTTAAGCAGATGCACGGGTGGTGGGGAAAGATCAGGACAGTATAAGGGGTTTTGATTATTTATTTATTTGTTTGTTTGTTCTTTCATTCATTCATTCATTCATCCATTCATTCATTCATTCATTCATTCATTCATTCATTCATTCATTCATTTATTTATTCAATTATCTATTTATTTATTTGTTTATTTTTTGTGGGTTTTTTGTTTATTTATTATTATTTCTTTAAATCTATTTATTTATTCTTTGGCCATTAATTCACCCACTAATTAATTTATTTGTTTGTCTGTTTAATTTCGGGGGGAGATCTGAGGTGGTATTCACACTGCTGCCACACTTTAAGTTCTTTCGCAAGAAGGGTTGATTTCATTTTTAGTTTCTTTGACGCGACTTAATGATTTGGTTAGTTTCTACCGTGCAAGCACGAGCTGAAATAAAGAAGTGAATCTATTCAAAAACAAAAGCAAAGCTGAGACAAACTGTCCAGCCCATAATGACCGCACAATAATAATACATGTATTAAAAGGATACAAACCAGGGAGAAAAATGTAATATGTACCAATAATAAAATTTCCTAAGGACGTACAGTTAATAACCTTTGTTATTTCCCTTGAAATTTTCTTGGTGGAGCATCAGCTGCTGGACTCGAAAATTATATTATAATAGAATTGTCGATGGCAGAGTGACGTAGGCCTACATATCTCTATTTTCACACAACTATGTTTAGAAGCATTTTATATCGTTAGACGCACTAAACGTCAAAAGTCTTAATTGCATTTTTCTGAATATTATAAAATTAGGTGCAGTTGCGTCTCTCTGCATTTTGATTGCAGTATTTTTCGCCTAATTGTATTCATAAGAATGGGGTCCCGACCCCCCCATCCTCCCTCCCCACCCCTGAGTCAAGACCTCTTGACTTTATGAACGTATGTTCTCCAGTCAGTTGACCTATTCAACTCCTACTG